TCAACCATCAAATTTCATTGACAAAACTCAACACAATTGTTCTTAATTGTTATAAACTAAATATTTTATTTGTGGTTTGCGTGGTTTTTTGACCCGAACAGGTAACCCGGGACCCGATCAATTCGGAGTCAGAAACGGTCCGAGTAAGCTATTTGGACCGAGCAACAATGAACTCGGTCAAACCCAGTCAAAACCTGGCCAACTTGAGGCATTGACCCGGCCGGGTCAACCCCATATATATATATATATTTCAACTTTTAATTTTATTTTATTTTTTTGAAAAAAATAAAACTATACATGTATGTTTATATGGTAAATATTTATCATAAGATACATATTATTAACACTTTAATGTACAAATTTTATACACAAAACATTTAATTTTGTTAATTTTATGTATATTTATATGATAAAAATATTCTATCTTCATTAAATAAAGTTATTATTGAAAAAAAAAAATTCTTAATTTCTCAAAATGACATATATTAAAAACTAGTACAACGCCCGTGTATTACATGGGTGCTTGCTATTTTTTTCCTTAAAATATAAAATTATTGAGAAAAAGTAGTTGAAAATTTAAATAACTTTTATAAAAATATATATTATTATATATTTAGTGTGACACTTTTTATTTGTGTGACTTACTTGTGTTATATTATAATAATTTTCTTAACTTACAACATATAACTACATTAAACAAAAATATATCAACTGAAAAATATTTTTTTTAATAAAATTTAATAAATATTATTTTTTATTATTATAAAGGTAAATATTATTTATTTATTTTATATATACAATATGGATGTCAAATCGAAGATCATGAAAAGATGATTAATTTGATATATTATATATGTAAAACCGATAAAAAATACAAAAATTATCAACTTTTAAAATACATTTATAATTCAATAGATAATTGAAGGAAACAAATCAAAAGTCAGGGATATATTAGTCACTTAGTGTCTCACTATGTAAAATTACAAAGAGTTAAAAGGGTTATATTAGTACAAGTGATATTATAATACCTAAGTTAGCTAAATAATATTTATGGAATGTCTGAACCTAGATATTAATTATTAATATATCAATTTATTTGTCCGAACCTAATTACGAAGCATGATTTTTCGCCAAGTAGAAT